CCATATGCTCCCTTGATCTTCTTCTACTGTCGTCCATCCATTCTGCATGCTAAACTTAGTGCCCTGTAGGCCACTCTTATGCGATACACGCAGGCTGAGTTTTATGCTTGTATTACCGCTTCCAGAAGACTTCTACTGGATACTCAATAACATTTTAAATTAAAAACTCATGAAAGAGTTACTATGGCACCCTGTAAGGTGAGAGAAAAGAATTTTCCACAATCCCATTCTATACAATCCCACTGTATAGAAATGAGAGCAAATAACAACCACGACAATAACAACAACAGTTAATGATGCAGAGACAAGTTTAATGTGCAAGAAAGCAGACATTAAGCAGACACAGGGATGAACACTGTAGGCCCAATTCCAAGAAAATGTCATTTGCAAAAGAAATTTGCAAGGATTATGACTGTTATATACATATAGAAAGGTATTTATGTGCATGATATGGCTTTCTTTAAAAGTTTAGCATCTACTTAAAAGTTACTTTTGATTATTGTGAAGCCATAGAAGTTCCAGGAGCCATCAAGTTCTAACTAGTTGGGACTTGTGATGGGTGCAATAGATACCAAGTTGAATATCTAGGCCCTGATTGGGGGTTGTCATGTCATGTAAGCATGGTTCTGGATGGGTTAAACAATCTTCACAACCTTAGAACAGACGATGCACATACAACATGGCAGCCACACACACCCGACATGCTATAGCCTCACCATGGGTAAAAGTGGTAGAGCAACAACAAACCAAGTACCTACAGTGATAATAGAGTGAGAAGATTTCTGGGAAGAAAGTTACAGAAAAGAGCCGTGAATGTGATGAGGATGACTATCATACGGAAACATATATGCACAGCTGTCATTCTGAACAATCTCGCTTCAAACCTTTTCTCATCAAAGCCAGTTCAAGAAAAGGAGCTGGTAGAAGGAAAGGTGCAGGAAAGGGCAGCCAAACTGATCAAAGGACTGGAGCACTTCCACAAGAGATGCTGCATCAGCTCTAGACACTGTGACTCTGATCTGAGATGAGCAACTTCTGGCCCTCCGGATGCTTCAGCTTACACTCCCATCCCTCACCATTGCCTGCATTGGCTAGAATGTGGGAGTTTTGGTCCAAGACATCGGAGGGCCCACAAGGTTGTCCTCATCTGCTTAAGGCCAGGCTTTCCCAACTTAGACTCGCACTCCCATCATTCCAAGAGAGTATGACCAATGGAAGTTGAATCTGAGACATCTGAGGACACCAGGTTGGAGAAGGCTGATTTATGGGGCGCATGACTCCAGCTAGAACAGACTGAACACCATTAAGTATAAGGCAGGAATAAAAACAATAAAACAAAGAGGAACATTGAACTGTCAGACCAGCAGTGAGGAGGCACAGCTACAGTAAATAAAGCATCTGAGTACTAATTAGCTGTCATTTCACATGCCCTCTGAACTAAAAAGGTATTAGCATGCTATCTAAAAAACATTAATGCAGTGATTATTCAGAGAACAATACAGTACGTTTCATCATGACAGTAAAGAGATGGTTCGGTGTTACTAGCAAAGAGGTATAATCTCTGTGCTTAAATGTTCACAGTAGCATCTTCTCACAGGCTAATGTTGCTAAGCTATGTCAGCATCTGAACCTTTCAAAATGTGCTCCTACTACCATATAAGGTTAAAAACTCAGTGAAGAAATCTGTCTTTATATCCTCTTGGACAGGGGTTCAAGCACAAGACATGAAGGTTGATGCCTGGGTTTACTACTACTTCTTTTGCCAGAAGCCCAGGATCTATTATTCAGAGCAAAGTAGTGTACTTGAAACTAAAGAACAGGGCACATTAGGAGAGTAGGGAGTTGTTGCCCATATTGGAAATGAACTAAGCTCACAGCCTGTTTACACAAAACTCCACTCTTATTCCAAGCTTTCCTTATTCCCCCCCCAAAAAAAAAATTTGGGGGGGGGGATTACTGCTGCTGTGTTAAACAACTGGGAGATGGAGACCCTTGCCAGTCACCCAAAGACCTGCCCATGGGTCTATCCTCTCTGCATTCCTAATCTATAAAGATGTTCTAATTTGTGTTTAAATATACACAACATTAGAATCTGAGAGAAAAAAAGAGAGTGGGGATGGTTACATTAGAACTGGAACATACAATCCAAGATGAGAAATTACAATGCCTGGTGTTTATGAACATACTGGCAAATATACTTATTTGCCATTTATTTATATATATACCATATATATATGGTATATAGTGCCAAACAGTAAAAATAATAGAAGTTCACATACACTCCATTGTTCTACAATCTCCAAATATTTTTGTCAAAAATAAAGCACCTGTGTATCCCTTGCCTGTGATTCTATCATTTTATTGTCCAATTTATCATTTCAGTTAATTACTTTCTTTTTAAGTTAAACAAAACGGCCTAAGGGTGCAATCCTGTGGTTTGTGTCATGCTTTCTTATAACTTCTTTCCAGCTTCCCTTTGCACTATGTAAAACTTCATTCATTGTAAATAACTTTCTAAGGCAGTTATTTTTAAATCATTAGAATATGTGGGGAGTGGTTCTGCAAATATAGTAAGGACACTGCTCTTACAATTAATAACACTGAAAATTACAAGGGAAAAAATGCACAAAGAAAACCCTCAAGTACAACAGAGACCTCTAGTGGGCACTCATTTAGTTGCAATGGTTCAAATTTGCTCCAAAATTTAGACCTGTCACTAATCCATCTCCTTAAGTGTAACTACCAATAATTCAAAATGATTTTTTTAATCCAGTCTTCAGCACTGATTCAAGTTCACTATATTCAATGAACATTTTAGATTGAACCCTCCCCCTCTCTCTCACACACAATTGTGTGATACCTTAATAACACAGCTATCCTATAAACTAGGGCTCCCCAACCTATAGCCCACAGGCCACATGGAGCCCCCATGCTCTTTCTGTGGGGCCCAGCAACTTGCTTACTGTTATCACTCTCCAGGCATTTCCCTCAGACACACACTGTTCCTTCTGCCCCAAGCAGCACCATCAACTCCCGTTTTACTTGTCCCTTTTTTCCACAAAACACAATAGCAGCACTGTTTCCTCTGGTCCCCGTGGTTCCTTCTGTGAGCCCCCTCTTGGTCTTATCCTCCATGCCATCATTTTGGCCATTCTGGGTGCTTTGCTAGCTAGCAGAGCTCAGGTACCGGTTCCACTCCACCTTTTCACTCCCCCTCTCCATGCATTACCATGTTGAAGGCTATATCAGTGTGCACAGAAGATAAAGCAGCTGTGGGGATGGGCGCAGGAGATGTGTGGCCTGCTTTTGCAAAACAGGTGGGAAAAGGAGAGTTAAAGGCCTGATATTTTTGCAAAAAGGATACCAAGTGTTTTACATACTGAATATTTCTAGAAGCGGCACCCATCAAGGATCCTCCAAGCGGCTTCCAAGTGGTGAGGTGGCTGCTTCAGGCAAAAGCATTCTTCCTTCTCAACAAGAGCTGGTTGCTCTGACTTTTTGCCTTGCTTGCTTTTGCCTCTCCTCTGCCACCCGCTCCAGCTAGGAGTCTTCTCATGCATCTGTGACTGGAGGAGCCAGTGGGTGGCCCCCTGGGTCGAGAGGGAAGGAGGACTCTCTTAGCAGGGAAGCCTATGGGTTCCCACATCTTCCCCCAGCTGCCATTTTGCTTCTCATGGTTAAGGCTTGGGTGGCAGGCAGTGATGTGCACATGCACCCTGCACATAATTTGAAGCCAACCTAACAGCATATCCTCTGCTCCAGGTGGGAGGCTGCCCTTTCATTCGCTCTTTTCTCTCTACCTGCCCTTTTTTGGAGGGCCCTCAATTTTTAAAGTATTAGCATGTGTAGATTTAAACCTCAAGGCACTGTGTTTATTAAGAAATAAACCCCATAGTATTCAATGTACTTAGGATTGCAACTCTGTCATCTCATATGTCAGATTCATAATCCATTTTTAAAACATTCTTTCTAGCCTGTTCATATGGCCCAATATTCCTGAGAACTGGAGAGACAGGGGTCTCTTCTTTGCCATTTTTGTCATTTTTCAAAATGAAAATCTCCAGCTAACAGCAGCCAGAGTGGGATGAATTTGATAGGAAAGGGAAGAGTTAGACCACTAAAACTACAGTATATCACAGAAGTGAGTACACCCCTCACATTTTGTAAATACTTTATTATATCTTTTCATGTGACAACCCTGAAGAAATGACACTTTGCTACAATGTAAAGTAGTGAGGATACAGCTTGTGTAACAGTGTAAATTTGCTGTCTCCTCAAAATAACTCAACACACAGCCATTAATGTCTAACCAGCTGGCAACAAAAGTGAGTACACCCCTAAGTTTCAGGTAACATACCTATCATGAAAAAAATAGATTTAGTCGTGCCTCCTCCCAACAGTTAATATAAATCGATCGTCCATAAGCACTTCAGTTAAGATTCTTGAGACTAATAATCTTCTACACCAGGGCTCTCAAACTCGCGGCCCGCGGGCCAATTGCCGGGATGGGCGGGGCACGGGGGAGGGGCCCTGCGGCCTTCAAAGCGCCTCCGGGAGCCACGCGGGATGAGCGGCCCACCCCCACCGCGGTGGTGGAATACTTGATGCGGCCCAGCCGCACCCAGGCTCTACTTCCAGCGGCCCCCAGGTGAGTTTGAGACCCCTGGTCTACACACTCAGCCTCCCCGATGCAATTGAAGCAAATCCTACAGATTATTCCGTAACACACCTATTCATCACTAACGTATGACACTGAAAATAACATGAGCAAAACACGTATAAATAAACCATAAAGTGAGCCAAAACAATCACACATTAAGATAATATTAATCCCACATGAACTAATAAGCAAGTGAAAAGCGCCGCAGAGCTATCCTTCGAGGAACAAAGGCGCCAGTCCGCATGCGCATGGCCCGCATGAGCGAGCCGGCCTGCCTCTCCCCGAACAGACCTCGCCAGAGAGTGGGCGGGGCCTCGCGCACGGCGGCGCCGGAAACGCGGGTTGCGCGCCCCGGAGTCCGGCCTTGGTCCGGCGTGTGCGACTGCCCGTTGCGGGTTCCCCCGGCTTCCCACTCCTTGACCCTTCGGAGCTGGACATACTGCGGCGTTCGCGCCATGGCGGACTCGGGACTGTCGGTCCCCGCGCGGTCGCTCACCGACGACGAAATGGCGGAGGTGAAAAAGGAAGTAAGATCGCGAGGCGCTTTCTCCGCGAAGGACCGCGGCGAGCTCGGCGGGGAGGGCGGCGTGTGTGAGCGCGGAAGCGGCGCTGGGCAAGCCGACGGGGGTTGGAGGCAAGAAGGTTGGCGGCGGTTGCCTGAAAGTGTGTGTGTTGGATGTGGGGGGATACAAACAGAGTTTCCAGGTACATCCTCATATTTTAATAAACAACATAATAATGATGGGGAGAAAGCAAAGGGGCAGACTGTCTGTTGTACCAAAATTTCCATGGCTCGTTGGCTTTGTACCGTTCCGCGTTCGGCGAGCTTTGAACAGATGAGGCTTTTCCTGTCGGGGTGCGGAGAAGCGGCAGCTGCTGAAAGCTCCTTTTTGTGGGGCTCGCATAACGTACGTTTGTTTCGCCAAACAGGAAGGGCTCGAGGTTGTTAGGGAGGGGGCGAGCTTTCTTCTTCTCTGCCGCAGTAGATGAGTGGTATTTTGAGTATTTCGATAATGAGGACTTCCGTCTCAAAGCCCAGACCTCGAGGCAGTGCTTATGCTTTGTCCCAAGCTCAAGTTCTGTTATCTCTAGCAAAGAGCAGCTGCGGGGAAATATCTGCCTGGGGAGCTGCTGCCAGTCAGAGCTGATGATGTTAGTCTAGATGCACAGTGTCGCCTAGTTTTTCAGCCGCCTTGCTCACTCAGCCCCCTGCCCCTCCTCAGCTTCTGAATGGGGACTGACAGAGGGACTGTGTTGGAAGTGAATAGGATTGGGAGAGTTGTAAAGGCAGTGGACATCACTTCCCAGTTTTGGCGTGTTCTCACACGTTGAGCAAGTTCGGCATCTTTTTCTAGGAGCAGGCAAGGATGGTAAATCTGCTTGTCCTTCATTTAGAATCATGGTCTTGGGGTGGGGCTTGTTGGTGATTTAGAAGAGGAATGTCAGGCAACCAAATGGCATGTCTTCTGCCCTAGTTCACAAGTTTCTATGTAGGAGTTTTTCCTGGGGAGTTTGAAGGAATTCCCCTCTTTAGTGGATGAGTTTGACATGCGGATGAGTCAACTTGGTGCAATAAACTTCCGTGCTGTTTTATTCGGCTGAGAAGTCCACATGGAATACACAGTGTTTGCTAAAAATGATAAATTAGTCTCTCTCTCTCCATATCCCCAAAAGTGTGCAATGTCTTTTGCTACTTAAAAAAGAAGATGCAATTCCTTTAGTTCTAGAAGTACAGTGGAAGGAAGCCTTGGTTGGGTCAGTGTCCTGGCACTACCTGATATCAATCTTACACATTGACTCACAGAGGCTCTAAACAAGCTTTTTCTTTGGCTTCTCTTGACAGCCATCAAAAGATGAGCCATCAAGAGAAACCAATGGGTGATCATCACTTGCAAAAGTGTGTTGAGATGCATACCTCCCTTGTGCAAAACATGGAAAATGCAAGCCACCTCCTTTTAAAAGGAACTGCTAGTTTTGACACCTCCTTTTAAAAGCATATGTCATGTGTCTATGTCAAGTAGAGTACATTTAATCAAACTGATTTAAATCATTAGTCACTAGGTTTTAATCATGGTTTTGCACGTATGCCTGCCTTACCTGTAAGTTGAGGAACTTCACTAAAATATTCTCAAACTGGGTCTCTCTTACAGCCTGCTGCCATTATAGGTTTTCCCCTCCAGGAAAGAATTATGTGATAAACCTAAGACTATACACAAAAAGAGCCAAAGACTTGTGGAGTATTCTGCTGAAAAGGTTTCACTTTCATATTATTAGTTGCCCGTCCCTCCACACACTTAGCTTCTTGTGCAGATCTATTCCACTCCCAACAACAAAATTCTATTCATTGAAGTTTTTGAAACTTAGCACTTAAGAAGTAAGGGTGTTGATTCCTTGTACATAGATTTGCAAAGGAACAATGGTTTTAAGGTCTTTTTCTCAACCCTGTATGTTTATTTTATAACATTTTTTGCTGTGAAGAAGCAGACCTTGATCTCTGCAGACACAAATTTACAATTTTGGAAGCTGTAAATCCAGGCATCTGTGATAATATCTTCTGAATAGAAAAATTACCCAATAATCCTATAGAAACTTCTGGAAATGCATAAAATTGTAAATTAATGGATGGAATTCATTTGTCAAAAAATTTAAACATTGCATGAATATACATGAATATATCATGCTACATAATTAAAAACTAATCCTTATTTCATAATGAATGGATCTTTGGACCATAAAGTATCTTAAATAGAAAACTAGCTTTAGATAGATTTTCTTCAATTTTATTAAAAATAAATTTTAAAAAATCAATGTAAGTAAAAAAAACCCAATTTAAATTAAAAATTCTATTTTTTATCTTTTAAAAAATTGTTTTTTATTCACCCTTATGTCAAGAAACCACAGTGAGACATGCCCCAAAATCCCCATTAAAACGAGCTGGTGTTTGACAGCTAGTTGTCAAAATTTCAGTTCTTTTAAAAGAGGGTAGCTTGCACTTTTCCATATTCCCAAGCACCTGGATTTTCTGGAACTGGAAAAGTGAGTTCACTATTAGGATATTGCAATGCAAGAAAAATGAAAAAAAAATCTTTGCTCAAAGGCACTTTAAGTATTACCACCTCATTTTCCCAAAGAAAGTTCTCTAGCATCTTTGGTTTCCTTTGACATCGGTCAAAAGAAAACAAATGGAAGAAAATTTTATTTTGAACTTATTGAGTTCTGCACATTTACAGTGCTCACAAATTTTCTACCAATTCCCCTGAGAATAGATGCTTGCAAAGATAGTTGAAATGTGTACTTCACTTGCTTTTCACTAACCTTTGAAAGAGAGCAGAAGTAAGGTTTTTTTCAATTTTCTTTTTTTAATGGGGATTTAAGCAAGGCAAAGCAGAGTAGCTTGAATGGGAACCTATGCCCCTTTTAATAGGGGCTGCCCATGAATAGATGGGCATTGCCAAATCCCATCTTTAATTGAAGTTGTGGTTGTATATCAGTCAAATATAATAGTCTGTGTGTCACAGAATTGGTTAATATATAGGGTACAAAGCAATCTGCTAAATTGCTAAATGATTTGGCATTTATAGGATTTCCTATCTCTACAACAACCATGCCATCAACTATCCTATTAGAACAGATCCTCCAGTACTCAAAGGGAAAGTAGCCACAAAACCACCCCTATTTGAATGTGAGAAAAATGAGCTTTTTCTGCTGGATTAGGAAACTTGCAACTGAAGGTGGTGTGCTCAGCAGCTCATGTTTAAGGATTTCATGTCAATCCACCTGCCCAAAGCTGCTTTGTCTGTTTTGTCATGTTTCTGATAGCCTTTAACTCAAATCTTTGAAAGTGGTCATCTTCACTTTTACAATGGCAATTTGAAAAGCGACAATTGTGGTATGCTGTAGTAGTTGATTTAGGTTTGCTATCTTCTGCCAGACACTGGTTGAATGCAGTCAAAATAGAATGATCTTTCCCTTACTATTTTTGAACATGACCTAGCTGTCAGCCATACAAGATTACAGAGAGCAGAAGAAACCGCTTTAGATACTCCAAGAGAAATCTGGTCAGTGGATTTCTGTGGAACATTGAATTCCTGGGTGTGGATAATTTTTGATGCAATGATCTTGTTGGAATCTCCTGGCACATTCTTAAAAGAAGCATTTTTTCTTGGTGGTTAAGTTGAAGTTGTGGAAGGAAATGCTTTTGGTGGACCATCTTGAATCTTTGTGTGGAATGTTTCTTATAAAGTGGTTGCATTGTCAGCTGCAAAACAGGGCAAAGTGATTTGGTCAAAGATTATCAGGAATAACATGACCATGTTCACAAACTCCTTCTAGTGTTCTTTCCAGCTAGGCTTCTGTCTGTTCTGGGAATGCCATCATAGGAAACTAGCTATAGCTTAACAATTCATACTTACTAGCTGTTTTAGTCAAGTTGCTCGATGAACCAACAAGCCTGTGCTGATTTTGTGAGTGTCAGCATTTCCCCATAGGCAGTGTGTGAAGGAGTTCCTGCCCTAACAATGTTAAGTGATTTTCGAGAATTTCATCTAGTAGACTGTCATCCAGGATCGCAGTGCCTTCATCACACACCAGAATAACAAGCATGCAGACTGTCAGGAATCCAAGGGTGTGTTGCCTGGATCATTAGATTACTGCAGTCATAGTGACAAGACACATTTCCAAATCAGTTTTCTCCTAACAGTTGCATAGTACATATTGTTGCTATGTTTTTATTTTAAATCAACATGTATATTTGAATAAAGGTAAAGGTTTTCCCTTGACATTAAGTCCAGTCATGCCTGATTCTAGGGGGCGGTGCTCATCTCCGTTTCCTAGCCGAGGGAGCCAGCGTTTGTCCGCAGACAGTCTCCGTGGTCATGTGGCCGGCATGACTAAACACCGAAGTGCACAGAACGCTGTTACCTGCCCACCAAAGTGGTACTTGCATTTGTATGCTTTCGAACTGCAAGGTTGGCAGGAGCTGGGACAGAGCAACAGGAACTCACTCCGTTGTGCAGATTCGAACTGGCGACCTTTCGATCAACCGGCCCAGCAGCACAGCAGTTTAAACCATTATGCCACCTGCAGTCCCGTATATTTGAATACTGATTTCCAAATAGTGGATTGCTGAATGTGTTCTTGGTTATTATATTGCGGGTGGCACAAGGGTGTAAAGAAGTAAGTGCTTTGTAGATGAGAATGAAGAATGAATAACTGAAGATATACTCCTGTTAGCTTCTGTGTAAAACTCACTCCTGCTACAATAGCAGACTAAGAAAGGACCTTTACTCATTGTCTCATGCCAAGCACATGCTCTGCATGAGCCTAAGGCAGATGTGCTTCCCACCTCAGTCCCCTCCCCCATGGGTGAGGACTCGCCCTTGGCCCCCTCCCATCTCCTGGACAACAGGGATGAACAGATGGACTCCTCAAGCAATAACTTGTGCGTGTGTTTACATTATAAACATGCACACACATGCTGTGAAAACACAGCATGTGTGTATGTGTTTCCTCCCACAGCCTCTCTCGGAACCGCCAGTGAACTTTTGTGAAACCTTGGGGCTGCAGGTATCACTGGTTGAGAAAGGCTGCTCTGAAGTTTCTCAAAAGGCTGTGCTCCTCTGTTCTGTCCCCACCCCATTTCTACAATCACTTCTTTTTTACTTGTAGAAATGGGGTGGGTGATTCCCTGTTTTTTATTCCAAGTGATTCCCTGTTTCCTAGGATATTTCCCAGTATCCCAGGTGATTTCCTGTTTTTTATCCCATTCGAAAAGGTTGAAATACCTCTCCGTAGGCTTAGTCACGGGCAGTAAAAGCTTTAAGTCAAAATGTGCTAATATTTTTTGGGAGGAGGGGGGTTGGCGTGCTCCTTTACCTTACCTTTAATCCAACCCATCCCTGGAATATAACCCCTGAGAGGTTCTGCAAAATGAAATTCAGCCTTCAGAGTAAGAATGATTCTGTGCCTATTATAGTTTATTGCTCCTGAGCATTGCATTTATAGTAGTACATAATCTGATGTACAAGATGATAAAATGTTACTAACAAAGTTTTATTTTTTTGCTAGGTTTTAGAGCGGTTGCGTCGCTATCTATGTGACAAAATAATTGCAGAAAGACACTTTGACTATCTACGCTCAAAGAAAATACTCAGTAGAGAGGACACTGAAGAAATCTCTTGTCGAACCTCAAGTAGGAAAAAGGCTGGGAAGCTGCTGGATTACTTAGCAGAACATCCAAAAGGACTAGATGCTTTGATAGAATCAATCAGATGTGAAAGAACACAGAACTTCCTGTTAGAAAAGATAACTGATGCCATCTTGAAAGCAAAAAATGAAAAACTGGAAAGCCTTAAAGGTAATGTTTCGTAACTGATGCACACCAATATGTGTATTATAGTCCATTCCTATGGGTTGTGTCCTTCTGAGACAGAAGACTGTGAACTCAGAGGCTTCAAGCTACTGCTGGCAGGGGGTGGGGGGACAGCAGAGGTATTTTGCTTCTCCATGCTTCCATGTTGCTTTTTTCCTCTAGTTGGTTCTCTGAGCCAGTCTAGAGATGGTACGCTGGTGAAGGCAGGGTTAGAGCTAATTAGGCCACAGGATTCCCCTCCTCATCCACCAGAATGGCCTTTTTCTGACTTCTCCAAGGCCGCTTTTGTGTTCTTGAGAAACAGCCAGCATGGGTCTTTCCACAGTGGCTACAAAGGAATGGGAGAGATCAGATACTAGAGTTCCCCTTACCAAGTTCATACCAGTGTCTATGGCCTTCTGTGGGATTTTGCAGTATCTTGTGGTCCCTGGGATGCTCTTCTGGTTGCACAGGATTGCTTTCTCTGTGTATTTAAATGGTTTGCAAAAATTTGTAGCCATGCAATTTGATCCTAGATATGTTTACTCATAGGTATATTCCACTGAATTCAGCTGGACATACTCCATGTTAACTGTGTATAGAAATGCAGCCCAAACATTCTTTCATCTGTTGGAGCTACTCCCATTGTTTTAATCTGTTAAAGTGTTTTTGCTCCTCTCTGTTTTTCTCCCCTTAATCTCATCTGCACATATGTCTTCTAGGTAGCTTCATTCCTTAGTCTTCCCTGGCTATCTCCTTAATTCTTAATTTCCCCACTCCTTAATTAATTCTTAATTTCCCCACTCCAGTTAGTACCTCACCAGCCAAATAACTTGATTTTCCAATCAGACTTTGATCCTACAAAATTTGGGGTAATTTTGTAGGATTCAGATTTTTTGCTGTACAGCTCCTATTATCTTTCACCCTTAGGTGTGCTGGCTAGAACTGATGGAGGCTATGGCACCTTGTATTTTTTCATTACAAGTTGCCCTTCCTTGTATGAAACGAACAGGAAAAACAGGACCACCACTAAGCCCAAAGTTGTGCTTTTCCCTAACCAGTAAGAACTTCACATTTGAAATTTCCTGTTTTCCCAAATAGAATGTTACCAAATTGTATTTTGTAAGGTTGCTTTTGTCTTAGCCTTATAATCAACTCTTTTAAATATAGAAAAAATATTTTACTTCTCCAAATTTCACATTTCCCAGACTGTATTCCTCTTTATCTATTAACCTGAGCTATCTGCCAATTTTCAGTGTGCCACACTTCTGCAATTAGAATGATATTGTTTCTAGTTAAGAAAATCCTGGAATTTTTCACTTCATCCTTTTGCAACAAATGTCATTTCCATATAGTACCATTTAAATAGCTACTTCAGCTTGACACTCAGGCAAAAGTATTAATATACCTGCTGTGGCCTTAGTAGTCGAGTTAGATTATTTTAGTAAAAATGGTTAAGAAAAAGTTTCATGCATCATTGCTCTGCTAGCTTTCTCTGTCTCTCTTCTGCTTGTAGCTTAAGCAGTGGCAAGAAATATTCCAATATGTACTAGTGTTTACAGAGAGGCTGCTGCAGGGGTCTCCTTCTTGCCAGCTTGCCTTCCCTTAAAACCTGCAAATAGGAGTCAGAATTGTCATATGAAAAGAAAGAAACTGATAATTTGGCCTAATGTGCATTCCCTTTACCGTACTGCAGGAGCAGCTGTATATGTGAACCAGTATCCTCCACTGCTTCTATTGACTAAAGAGGTAGTGATTGGCCCACATTGGGAGAAAAGGAGCATTGCATGTACAGCCAGCATGGATAACAGGAAAACGTTTGGCTTATTGTTGGGGCTGCAAAGATTTATTTATAGCTTAATTTAGAGTCTCTTGCCAAAGCTAGCAGGTAGTTCACTATTCAAGTCAAAATCACCATGGCACTCCTTTTTGCAATAAGAAGTAAATAATAGAGGATGCCAGATTTCTGCAGGGATGAACCTGTTAAAGTTTCAATGAGTGGCAGCATTTCATTACTTCTACCTTTCATTACTTTCAGAAACTGTACCATTTTGGTATTCTTCAGAAACCTCCTTTATTGAAATCTAGGAATAAGTTCCTTTATTCAGATTTGAAAGCTGCAACTTAGAGTGATCCTGTGATTCAAAGTGGGGCATGGGGAGCCCGAGCCTCATGTTAAGATTTCTGGGGGATCCTGAAACATAACCTTTGTTCACTTGACAAGGCATTTCTGAACTTCAGGAACCGTCTTCAGTGTAGTATGAGAAGATATAGCTGGAAAACTAAATATTTGTGTGCCCTGGAGAATGTCTGCACCCAGAAGCCCCTTGGAGACTGATCTAAATGTGTGCATAAACATTTGGGAAACGATGATTTCACAAACAAAATCTGACTATAATTTAAATAATTTATTATTTATTTAAAATACTAACTCCCCTTCTGTCCTGCAACATAAATTCTAACTGGGTTGTTATGGGAGAGATTACTCAGTTCAGACATTGCACAAAACAGTCAGAAACAAACTCCTTGGGATTGCCGGCGGGGGGGGGGGGGGGGGGGGGGATTAGCCAGCCAGCTCACTTGCTCCCTCCCACTTTGTTTACAACCACCTATATTAAAAAATAAACCCTGATGGTTGTGATATCTGAACATAGTAACTGAGAATAGATATATAACACCACCTTTAATTGTCCTTTAAAAAGCACTGCCGGCATATGTAGGTTCTGCGGGGTTAGACCGTGATGGTCACTCTACAGGCATTGTTGATGTTAGTGTTTTAAAAAGCAAATAAATAATAAAGAGGCTTTCACAATGGTCCATTTTATGTCAACATTCTCTTGTCAAACTTTAGTAAACTTCATACAAATCTAATTTATTCTTTTACAGGGCTGAGTTGTAGCAACTGTATGGCTTCAGTATGTGGGCAAACAAACAATCTTTCTAGGTCACAGTCAAATGAATCTAATTTGTTTGAAAAACAAAAAGACAGAGAAACCACCTGCCTTCATCCAGAAGAATATAGTACAACTGCCTTTGTATCTGCTACTTCTCTTTGTTCGATGAATTTACCTGTTACGGAGGTTGGAAATATGGAGAATTCCGTTTTCTTGGCTACCCTTCCCGGACCTGGAGATTCTGGGGCACCACCTCTTCCACCACAATTGCAGAATGAGCAAGAGGAAACACATACCACCTCAAGTGATGATCCCTTCCTTCCTTTAAGATCTCGCTCACTTCTGCCACAGTGACATTTCCCTTGAGTAACCTTAAAGTTCAATACTAGGTTGGGTGCCTTATATAGTTTTGCAATAAATGTTTGTAGACTGTAAAGTCAGAACAGATCAAGAAAGTGCCAAATAATCTGCTTTAAGTATTTTAGGTTTTTAGCTAACCAATGTATTTGTCATAATTTCGTTATGAGGATGATTTGTTATTCTGCTTTTAGTGATTACTGCAACCCTGTAAGTGTCTAATCAGAAGTAAGCCCTATTGAATGAGACTTATTTTAAGGTATATAGGCTTCAACCTTGAAAAACATTTAAAGGGGTTCTTGCTCCATTCAAAAACAATAACAGAAAAATGATGCTAGACATACCTAAAATAAATTTGGGAGATGTGTTCCTAAAATCACATTTTTATAAAGTTCATATTGAGAAAACATAACTTGATCTTCACCATGGCAGTTGTTCCATCTTGTAATTATTGGAACCTGCTGGGACATACTTGTTTTTCAGAGGGGACTTCTTGTTGAAGTTTCTTTAGTTATAGAACTTAGGATGCTTCTGAAATGTCATAATGAGGTTCAATACAAAGGGTGAAATATAATGTTATTGAGATACAATATAAGAGAAGTGATGTTTGGGGTTCTTACTTCTCACTGTTGGTGGCAGTACATTAGAAATAAGCTTTCTCTTGCAGCATGTAGTATCCAAAAGTAAATGTCACCCGGAAAATATTTTGCTGCAATCTTTGTTGCAAGACCATAAATAATTGATCTCTGCATGATCACTACCGGCAGAAACAAAAATCATCAACAAAGAGAGAAGTATATTGTGTGGCTTGCATCCCTGTGCATACATGTTGCATAGTAACTTACTGTGTAGTGTCATTTGTCCAGTTTGTGTGTTATCTGACTGAGCAAATTATTTTTCTTGTTGCATTCAGTTGTCATTTGAATGATACACCTTCTGAGTACCCTTTGTTTTAATTAACTTTCAAAAGAAATTAAGGGTATGCTTGACAAGATAATGTTTGACTTAAGTAATGAACATTATAAACCCTTAACTGTCACACTTCCTTACTAATAGCAACCTAACACGTGTAATATAATTATGTTAATAAGCACACTCAACATTGCTAGATCTCATTGAATTTATTGGGCTTTACATCTGAGTAGACACATACAGGATTGGATTTTGGACTCATTCACCATGCTGGATATAGTTCTAAAAGAAAAAGGCAAGGTGAAGCAATGGTGTGTTGCAGACATAATTTTTACCATGTAGGTATTGGAAGCATAAATTGCCCTCAGGCCAGTCAAGGGGTTCCTCATGGCTAGATTGCAAAGGAGGCAGAAGGCACTGAAGAAGGGCCCTGCTTTCTTACAAAATACATCTATGAATAGACTTGCAGGATTTACCATGCTTCATCTTTTTCTTAATTTCTTTTTCTATTTTAATATTATTGATGCTTGCTTTTATTGAGAATGTATGCTACTCAACCTATGTGAAAACACCTGACTTAAAAACGTGTCCCTTCAACATTTATTCTGTACATTATCTGGGCATTATCTGTGTAGCACTCAAATTGGGTAGCTTTGATATTTATTTTCAGATCTTCTGTCAAAGCTATATAGAGGCTTTGTGGACATCAGTCAAAGCAGTGCCTTTTTAGTTTAAAAGTAATATTAGATCCAACCAAAAGGAAAGTGATCTTTTATTGGGCCTCTGCAATACCAACAGATTATAAATATATATTTGCATTTTTATCTTAGAAGTCATTGGATAAAAGGTGCAATAACTAGCCAAGTGTAATTACACTACTGCCTTATCCTTTACATATTTTGCTCATATATGTCTCAGAGAATTCAGCAGAGTGTACTTCCAGCTAAGTGTGCACAGGATTACAGCCCAATATGTTAAGAAAATAAGTGAAGAGACAATTTTACATAATACATTGATCACTGTCAGGGAGCTATTATGTTCTCCTGCAGTGTACCAGACTCATAGCTTACCTCATCTGAAACTTCCATGGTCGTGATTTACGAAAACATTCTTAATATGATTGCCTGTTCTAGACATTGTTAAATTACTAGCAAATCCTATGTTTAGTTAACCATCATCTAATGGTCCCCATTATTGTGTGATGCTTCGCCTCTGAAAGCTGTATGACTTTCCAGGTATTGCACTTACACAAGAGATATTACTTTATCCTGCACTTCAGCTCTTCACCCTGAAGTCTAATAACCTGGATGCCTCTGGAAAAATGATAGACAGCTGAGGGAGAGGGGATTCTGAACAAATGCTCATTCTGTTTTCCAGACATGTTTGGACTGCAGCACCCAGAATTCCCAGTCAATGGCCCAGATGAATGGGAATTCTGGGAATTATAGTCTAAATGCCTCTGAAGGCCACCAGGTTGGGGAAGGCTGATCTAGAGGACAGTGCAGCACACATCTTTTGAGATTACAGATGTGGCTGGAATATAGCTGCTTATACCTTTTCTGAATATAATATAAATTACACTGGTCTACAATTTTTGGGAAATTAACCTCCTCCGAGATAAAATGTGCTAATTCTTACATATTTTGATTAGATGAATTAGAAAACAGGTGATAAAGGTGCTGGTTGGCTAAAGTTTTCAAGATATTTCACAATAAAGATTTATACACAGGCTAATGTATTTGCCTACAAGGAAGGTGTCCGATGATCATGATGTCTCATAACTTCTGAACAAAGTACAGTAGAACAATGAAAATTGTAGCACATGGAAGTGAATAAATTTATCTTCACTTTGAGACTAAAGATTATTACCTAACTGTAATTTATTATTTTATTGCAAGGTACATTTGTCTTGGTCAGATCTATGCATCATACAGTTACATCTGGGGGCTTGTGAAATTGTCATTGCCTAACATTTCCAAGGAACAGTTGCGTGATATTTTCCCTCAGAAGCTAAGATGCCTCGAAACTGTGTAAATAATGCAGATAACTTCTGCTTCTTTTGTGGTGAGGTTACATTTGCACCTCACAAGTGCAATATGATGGCAGTGGTAAAAAAAAAAAAGGCATATCACCTATATTTTGGATGCAAAATAGGGGATCAGGACAAGAGTTGGGCCCCTCGTTATTGTTGCATTACATGGGCAACTTCCCTGCGTCATTGGCTAAAAGAAGAAAAAGTCCATGCCTTTCGCAGTCCCAATGATGTGGAAGGAACCCACCAATCATATCGACTGCTATTTTTGCATGGTTCCCCCAATTACAAAAGGGATCTCAAGAAAGAAGTGGACTGTAGAATATCCAAACATTCCATCCATACTACGTCCTGTACCCCATGGTGAGGACTTGCCAGTTCCAGATCCACCAGAATTCTAATCTCTAGACTCAGATGATGATAAAGACAATGAGCAGGATGCAGCTGATCCAGTTTTTCATGCAAAAAGCATGAAAATGTTACATGAAAAACCAATAAATGAATGGAAAGTTATGTTATTAGTAAAAAGATAAATATATAATGATTGGTGTGGCACCATTCTCATTGCTATATCACATTTTGCAGAAAAGTTATGGAGCATAATTGAACATCTCGTAATTTGAATTATTTTCATGCAATTTCGACCTGAAATTGTATCTTGGAAACCGGAGCCAATTAATACTCAGGACTTAATTTCCCTTTATTAGTGACCCAATTCTGGTAAAATTTAGCTACTTTCATTTCCGAGGCTTTTCCTTGTAGACCAGTGTTCCAGAATAATTGCAACTATTGCTATTTTGGATGGAACTCTTTGGGAATTATTATATATTTAAATGATTTTCCATTTATACTTTTTTAAAAAAACAAGGTTACGGTTTTTATAGCAAATGATGTTGAACTGAAATTTTCCTTGGGCACTTTGTGCTAACAGCTTAACTCATTTCAAATGTTCATTTGTATTTTAGAGTTAGGTTAAAAAATAGGTCATCTGACTGGCATCCAGTGTTTTTTATTTTTTGAAAGAAAATAGTTGTTTCATTATACTCCATGTGTGCTGCTCATGATATTGACTAGGTGATGGCTGAATAGCAATTGTGTTCTTACTGGGTTTGTAGACATGTGATTTATCTGGCAAGGAAATATACCTAGGTGTATGATGCTTCAGAAGCCACCTTCTAGGTTTAAACAGGACAAGCTGCAGCCCAAGACACTTCTGTATGAAATTCCATTATGTATTCTGCTCCATGTATTAGATGCTGGAAGATGGAGCAAAAAAAGCTTGCTTCTTTCCCATCTTATGGGTCTCCTGGAAGATTCTGGCTAGGTACTGTTGGATGCTGAATGTGAATATACTTTTGTTTTGATGCCTGAGATCAAAAATTTTAAAATAATAAAATAATAAACTGATTTAATTACATTTAATAGTACCTGTTATTACTCGACTGGGCAGCTGCCTTATTCAAAATCCCACCCACTCCAGTTTCTCAAATCTTCTAGTCAATAGAGTGTTTATAGCCATTTGCCAGTCATAATACAGTATGGCCCCAAAAATTATTTCAGTATTTTATCCTTTATTGTTTCTAATGGCAACAAACCATTTAGTTTCTTTCCTATAATAACAAGTGTTTCATTACTCACGCCCTAAATTCTCTGATCCGCAGCCCAGACAATTCCTGGCTATAAAGTATACAAATACCTATTTATGAAACTTCTATATCACTTTGGATTTAGAAGTTTACTATGAAACATTGTCTGCTGGTTTATGATCAGAAATGTTGAGATGGGAGATACCTGCCTCTGATGTCAATGCTTGAATGTATAGCTTTGAGATGACAATCAAAGCTTGGTTCTGTTGTAGGGTCACAAGAGCAAGTCAGTATTTGGTTTCAGTGTATGAAACCAAATCCCCAGCCTGTTCCTTCCATATGTTTTGGATTGAAACTCCCATACACCTCAGCTAGCAAGGTTAGTACTCATCTGGAAGTCTCTGGGTTGGTAAGGGCTGGGATAAGGGATAACTTTGGGCCATTCTTGAATCGTAAATCTCTTATAATAACTGCAACTCTTGCTCTGCAGCTTTCCATGAGATTAATTTGGGTACACAGATGTATGCCCTTTTCCGATACTGCTAAATCTGGGGAGGTGACTAGAAAGAGGGACTACTTGATGTTAAATAGGGCTCTGTACAAAATGAGAAACCTGAGACAACTTCGGCTGGTACAGTGCCTTGCAGAAGTATCTATCTACCCCTTTCACTTTTCTGTATTTTGTTGTGTTACAATCTGGAACTGAAATGTATTTACTTGACACTGCTGTTGCTTGACTTACTCAAGTACTTTTATTGTGGCAGAGACGTTAAGTAAACAAAAACAAACTGGCCACTATGTAAGTATTCACCCCAATTACTGTGACTTGTCTAAATAAGCACTGGTACAAGTTACTGCCTCCAGAAAACACATACTGTAAATAGTTGAATGACATCCACTTGTTTGCAGTTCTAGTGCTACATGATCTTAGATTAAAAATGCCTATTTCTGGAAGGCCCCAGAGTTTGTTGGAGAATATACAGTATTATTTATTTCATTTCTATACTGCCCTATACTCAAGGCTCTTTGTGTGGTTTGCAACAAGGTATAAAGCAAAACAATAAAATACAATGCAAAAAACAACAATGTTAAGAGAGTTAAAATTAATTTAAAATAGTATCTAAATAGCATTATGAACACCAAAGAGCTAGTGTATCCAAACAACTCTGGGATAAAGTGCAGAAACACCAATTGGTTGGATTGTAAAAGAATATCCCAAACTGTAAACATCCCCTGGAGTGCTGTTAAATCCATTAAACAGAAATAATATGGCTCAACTCAGTGACTGGGTAAGGAGAATCAGATGCAACCAAGAGACCAGTGATAACTAAAGGAGCTAGAGTGATTCATAGCTGAAATGGGGCGGGGGGAGGAATAGTTCATGGAACAACTACCACCTTGATGCTCCACAGAGCTGCATTTTTTGTGGAAGTGTGACAAGAAAGCCATTGCTGAAACAAACTCATCAAGAGATCTTTTGGAGTTTGCAAAAAGCCATTTGGAGACACATTAAGAAAAAGTTATTTGGGTTTAGTGTGACCAAAATGGAATTTTTTGGCCTTGGTGCAAAACATTCCATGTGGTGCAAAGCCAATAGTGCCCATTGTCCTAAGAACAACATCCCTGTGTGAAACAGTGGCAGCCCCAAGGTTGGGATGCTTTTCCTCAGCAGGAACTGGAAAACGAGTAAGGACTGAGAACAATCCAAATGGTGCCAAAGACAGGGTAATTGTAGAGGAAAACCTGATTCAGTCTGCAAGGGACCTGGAACTGGGGTTCACCTTCCGGCAGGACAATGACCTTAAACATACTACCAGACTGGAATAGTTTAAAAACCTGAATGTCTTAAAATGGGACAGTCAGAATACAGAGCTCAATCTGAGAATGTGTGGCAAGACTTGAAAGTTGCAGTTCTACAACCATCCTCAGCCAACCTGAATGGGCAAGCACTGCAGCACCCAGAAGCTCAAAGCTGAGAGAGACCTGTCCAAGAGGAATCACTGCTGTAATTGTAGCCAAAGACTCATCATAGACCCGATACAGACTCAAGGGGGTGGAAGTAACTAACAAATGTCAGGTTGTATTTGTTAACTCCTGTGCCACAATAAAAATACTTGGTAGCTTCACAGTGCTAAGAAACTTATGTACATCAAGTGGTAATGATAATTAAATCCATCTTCATTTCAGATTTTAATGTAACAAAATGTGGAAAAGAGGGATGTGTGTATGTGGGTGTGGGAATACTTCTGCAAAACCCTGTCTGTGCAAATTACAAAATTTAAGAGAGGAAGTGCCATGGGTGGAGTTGCTTAGGAGTGTTACAAAATGTCCAGAATCGTATTGTAAGAAGACATATCAGTATGATTGACAACTATTTCATGGTGAGGCAATTTTTGTCTTTTTAAAAATGACAATTTGGGATAGGATGCTATCATTTCTTTATTACACTTTTGGAGAGAAAGTAGGGTATTATTTATCGCACTTTCCATGGAAGGAGCTCTGGGTAGTGCATACTTGGTTCTCACCCCTTCTCATTTTATCCTCAGAACAGTTCTGACACATGGCGTAGCCACACTAATCTGCTAAGCAAAGCCAACAGAAATTCATCAAGTTTCTTTAAAAAGAAAAGACTACCGTATTTTTCGCTCTATAAGATGCACCTGACCATAAGACGCACCTAGTTTTTAGAGGATGGATCCATGGAAAGCTTCCTGAAATCACAGGCACATTCCCCATCACTTCCCCATGGGCTTCATTAAAAGACGGGTTGCCATTTGAAAACACACACCGACCTGTGATTAACAGCTCGCACCTGCTCCAGAAGAGGGGGGCGGAGCAGGGCGCACCGAGTGCATGCCGGCCAGGTGTGGTGCAGCCGGGCCGGCAGTGTGCCGGCGGTGGTCTTCCGGGCAGCGCGGTGGAGGTGGCGGCAGGTCTTCCTGGGCGGTGGGGGTGAGCAGTCCGTCTCTCTGTGTGGCCAGCAGGTTAAAGCCCACGGCTGCTGCTGCTCCGCACCGCTCCCCCTGAGCGGCAGAGCTCTCACCTGCGCCGGGGGGGGTGGAGCAGCACACGCCGAGCGGGTGCCGGCCAGGTGGTGCCACGTGGTGCAGGCGGGCCAGCAGCGTCCCGGGCGTCGGGCACACACACATTCGCTCTATAAGACGCACAGACATTTCCCCTTACTTTTGAGGCAAAAAAAGTGCATCTTATAGAGCGAAAAATACGGTATATACAATGGTATCATTCTTTAAGTGCAAAACTTCTATCACTCATAGAAACCCTGTTTCTATCCTTGCGTATTTAACATCTATTATTTTATATAAAATCTATTATTATTTTGATTCCTTTTGCACAAAGTGTTACACAACTCATAACCTCATTAGGCTTAAGAGTTGGTTGCACTTGCTGCTCTGCTAGTGGTGTTGCTAACACTAGAGAAACACCACCAATCAATCTATTAATGTAATATTTGATAAGATCCTAACAAATTTATTATGTTATATTATTCATGGACTAGAGTGATTATTACATGCATGAAATCTTACGCTCCACAAGTTTGGCCTACAACTCCCATCAGCCCTATTCAATGCAGCTGAAATATCCAAAATTAGGCTAAAATATCTGGAAAGCCATAAATTGTCCATTCTTGCTGTAGAAGGAAGGAAAGTTTTAAATGGTAATGAAATGGAAAACTATACTCTGTGCCATTTCAATTGAAGTGTAAATATATGAAAAAGAAGCAGTGACCATTTGCAACTGCAGTAATACAATCGTTCTATTAACATAGCTTTCTCTGTAGTTAAGCTGAGCGACAGTAACTATTCTAAGCCCAGGATCCCCCACCAACACATAGCTGTGTGGATTTGAAGTTGGATTGCTCTTCCAACCTAACATTAATTTCATGTTCTAAATTACCCAGTTATACAACATTATAAAGTGCCTAATGTTGGTATGTATATGACTGGACTCAAACTGATGAGAAAGGAATTAGCTTCATTTTCTGGAACCTGCTCAGCAACTGCCTGTAATAAGTTCGTATTTTAACAGGTAAATACACAGACATACTTTACAGAAATTTCATGTGCTAGTAGTTTACCACTATAAAGGATTCCTCACTCCTTTACCTACCCATCTTAGCTCACTTACTGTCTGCTAGCAGCTTGGCCACTGACATAAGGGGATTGCTTAGCATTCCTTTAGTGGCAGCTCTGAATCGGACTTGATATTTGAAAGTAGCTTGGCCTGGGGTTAGTTTCCCTCTCAATGGAAAACACCTACCAGCAGCTGCTAAGGAGATTATTTATTTAGATTTTAGTCACTAGAACAATCATGGGGTGAGTGCTTCTCAATTCATTAGCTCCTTCATGAACTTTCTCCACATGTTCCTTCCATGGAAAAGGGAAAGCAGAAACACCTGTTGTGTCCGAATTGGGTCCCCAAAATTCCAGTGATCAGTACAACGCCCCCCCCCCCATCACAAAATCTGGAGCAATTCCACACCCTCCATTTCCCAAACTAGTGAGATGCTACTAACCGTTTTTGAACTGGTCCTGAATTACAAAGACAGCCCAGCAGTCGTGGATCTTTGAGTAATAGCTACAAGCTATACTACTCCATGATTATTATTCATCAACATCATCCCGCCTTCCGCAAGGAGCTGAAGGCAGCCTCCGCAGTTCACCTCTGCAGGCCCGTGCTCAGCGCGCTACTAAGAAGAGGGGGATTGCCGAAAGGGGGGCGGTGGTCTGATGGGTGGCTAGCCAGGACTAGTGGTCCCCGCTACTTCTTCCAGAGCCGGGGCAGGGAGGCCTTCCCGCATATGCCACAGACCCGGAACCTTCCTCTCCGTGAAGCTCGGTTTCCGCGGCCGGCTGTGTCGGTTGCACCAGCCCCCCGCCATGGCAGCGGCGGAGGGGAAGGACCCGCTGGGATTTTTCGCCGCCTACGGGAGCGACAGCAGCTCGAGTGCCGGCTCGGATTCCGAGGGCGAGGAAAGCTGCGGGCCGGACCGGGAGGGCCATTCGTCGAAGCCGCCGCCGCAGAGCGGGGTCTCCGAAGGGAAGCCACGCTTGCCCGGGCCCGACGAGCTTTTCCGCAGCGTTAACCGGCCTGCTTTCCTCTATAACCCACTACACAAGGAGATTGACTGGGAGAGCCGGGTGCTGCGGGCGCCCGAGGAGGTCAGAGGTCCGAGGGGAGGTTGGAAGGGAGAGGGCCGAGGAAGGGACCGATCAGCCGCGCCCGAAACGAGGGGTGTGCGAATACGTCGCTGGGAGTGTTGCCCGCGTTGTGTATGGCTGTAGGCATTTGGTTTCAGGGGGGTGTCTGTGTCTTTGGCTTTACTTTTTGCTTGTCTTACGTAGCTAAAAGGCCTGCGAGGAGTCGGAGCCTCTGTCGAGGCTTCTCAGTCAGGTTATACTGAAAGCCTTTTTAAAAAATCGGATTTTGTATTTGTGTAATACTTCTACTGAGCCAAAAAGTGGTCACACACATGAGCAAGCTTTCGAGATCTTCAGCAGTAGCTATACAGAGTATAAGGGATATTATCTTTCTCTTCAAAACGTTACTGCTTAGAAGATTAAATACCTGTATTTAGTAGAAGGCTGTCTTTGAAGACCCAGCCTACAATAAAAGAGCTAGATGTAAAGAAACAAAGTGTTGTAGGGACCATTTCTTTTACTGTTAAATATTTGGGATTCTTACTGATAATCCTGATGTGTTATCTGATGTGGACTTTTGGTCCCTTGGTTTCTCTAGGGTAGGGTAGGGCAGAGCAGAGCAGATTTGGGGTTCCTGGGATTTCATTCTTTTTCTAGTAGATCCCTAGTGGCTATCAATGGAGGAACAGGATGCCTCTGAACTAAGGATTTATGTTATCTAGGACTGGAACATTCACTCCTTTGCACAAATATCCACCTCTGATTTTCTTCTAAGTATTCTTCATTGTTGTTTTTATATGCTGTCAAGTCACCTTGGACTTAAAGTGACCCCATGAATGAAAGCCCTTCAGAATGTCCTATCCATGACATTCCTGCTTAGCTGTTCTGAATTTGAGGCTGTGACTTCCTTTATGGAGTTGATCTATGGCTTAATTAGAAGAGTCTAATTTAGAAGTGGGAGGGAACAGAAGCATTTGGGGTTGTTGTTGTTTTTGGCTGTTACAGTCATGCAAATAGAAGACATACATTTAGGATATACTGCAAATCACCCAGGACCCGTACCTGATTTATTTTCTTCCTATCCCTGTTCCAGGGATTACTCTTCTGCCTTGGAATGGAATTGTTTTCATTAGTCAGTGTTGCTTATGATTGTTTTTGCTCCATTTTTCATTGGCTTATTTGTTTAAACTTTTAAATGGATGTGGCATTGATATCTTATTTATCCTTTGGTGCCATGGGCATTTGGTAAGAGTTTGATATATATTTTTAGATATGGGAACAACTCAGGTCCATTGTTGTATCCATGGCTTTAACATACAGCACAAGATGTATTGCAAACCTGGTGGTTTTCTGGCTGTGCGGTGTTTTAATATTATGTCTTTTCTTCAACAGCCTCCTAAGGAATTCAAGGCATGGACTACAAATGCTGTGCCACCCCCTGAGACTTACACTGTCAAAGAAACAAAGCTTCCACCCCGACCTGAACTTGACATGGCAATCAAATGGTCTAATATGTATGAAGACAATGGTGATGATGCTCCAAAGCATGCAAACAAGATTAACTTTTTACCAGAAGAAGAAGAGCAAGATCATATAGAATCAGGTAATATACCATTTAACTTTGTATATAGGGAAAGAAATAACTTTTGGGTTTCTTTGTATTTGAGTACTATAATGTGAATTATTGTTCCCTTTGAAGATTTGATATTCCTGTCTTCCATTGATCTGAATTTGTGCAATACTGTTTCAAATCCACTTATAATATTATCCAGCAGTATACAACTCCTTACATGAAACACATATTTTCAGCAGTAGCATATTTCACCTACTGTAGTCTTACATTCAAGTGCAGCATTTACTTGTCATGGGATGTAGTGTAATAGAAGGTGCAAGATGCTTTCTCGCTATTCCCCTATGTTTCCTTAAAAAATCTTTCACCTCTTGTCCTCCTACAATGTCTTGCCCTCCTACAGTGGAAGGTAATTTGTTCAGTCTACAGGGAAGAAGTAAAAAGTACCTGAGCATTCAGTTCTCACTCCCAACATAAATAGTAACTTTTAAAGCTACTATGGGCTAGTGGCTTTAGTAGCACAGAAAGCTCTGGGCTTTCTGCTTTTATAGGGAATCTGTGTACTATCTTGAATGAGTTTTTAAAAAATCTTTAAAATAATTCTTCAGGATCATCTTGAAACATTCTGATATTGATACTGTGTTTGTGATTTACACCTTAGGATGAATTGGCTTTTTTATATAAATGTGCTAAGAGTTTTGGACCTTGGTTGCAGTGTATATATTGTGAAGTTTCTGAGTTCTGCGTAAAAGTATTATTCCAAAGGCTTGAAATAGATTTAATCATTTGTGTTTTTTCCCTTGACCAAAGGCCCAGCAACCTATAGAATCATAGTGTTGAAGGGGCTCTGTAGGTTACCTAGTTCAAGTTCCCGGAGTATTCCCAACAGATGGCTGTCCAGCCACTTCTTAGAGACCTATAGCAAGGGGGAGTCCACCACTGACCTACATAATTGGTTCCATTTTCAGACTACTTTATCCTTCTGTATCTGAAACCTATTAGTCCTGTTCTCTGACACAGCAGAGTAAAACTCTTTACCCTCTTCAGTGTGACAGGCCTTCAGGTATTTGAAGAGTATCATCATGCTGCCACTCTCTTCTTTCCTCCAAGCTAAATATACGCAGTTCTCATAGCAGTTGTTTTCTTTACCTCTGGCCATCTTCGGTGCTCTCCTCTGAGCTTATTTCAGTTTATCTATATCCTTAAAGTTCAGTGCCCAGAACTGAAGAAAGTAATCCAGATGCAGTGCAGAATGAACTGTGTTAATGTAGCCTTTAAAAAAAATTGGCAGCCACATCAGCAGCTGATTCACATTCAGCTTGTGATCAACCACAATTCCCATATCCTTTTTACATATACTGCTTCATTTGTACTGCATTAAATTAGTCTTTCTGAACAGACAATGCTATTATTTTTCGCATGTGTGGATTTGGGAATTTTTACACGCATTCATATTTAAACAAATTTTGTCTTTTATTTGAAGATGATGAAAAGGATGAACCAGCTTCATTTAAGAAACGCAAGCTAGACCCTGAGGAAGTAACAAAGAAAAAAAAGCAGCGATGAATTGGAGAAAGTCTGACTGCTAAAACTTTGTTATTAGATATGTTGGACAGCTGTTGGATGTTGACTTCACTATTGGAGCCAAACAAAAAATAGCATTGCCAACAATACAGCACACTTAAGGATTCTGTAACTTCAGTGATATCTTTATTGTACTGGAAATTATGGAATTGTTCATATTGTTGTAGATGTTATACCTATTTACTGGAAATGTTTCAATTAGAAACCTTTTAATTAAAAACTTCTTAGAATATTGTGGTATATATTTGTGTTCCTGCAGACTATGAAGTTTCAAAGTATTCTGTTCTTCCATGAAACTGATATATAAGAGAATTGTTTACAAAGCTGCCATTGTGATAGAAGATTTTTAAAATTAAATCAAGAAATTACATTTTTATAGGAGTTTTAAACAATGTATTGTGATGGTGATACTATTTTGAAATGTATGTAAGTATGTAAATAGGTTGCTGAAATAAACTATATGTTTGAAAGGGTATTTTGTAACCTTACTATATTAAGGGTAAGTGAAGCAAGTACCGAAAGAAGTTCTGGGCTCAGACATGTCTTCCCATGAGTCAGGCCAGTAGCCATATTCATGCATTCTGTTTCTTGTTATGCGCAGAAGCACTCCAGTCTCACCCCTATGCTTTATTGCATTTGTCACCCTCCACTCTCGGGCAGCAACTGTCTGAAGGCGAGAGCCCCTTGTATCTCCGGAGGCTTTCCACATGAGCCAGAAGGCTAATTTTCTTGAGCCAAACTGTTGTTTTTCCAGGGCTGTGGCTAATGTGGGAAGCCCCCTGGAATTCAGGAGACTTTTCCTCTTCAGACATCCTCCACGAGCTGACGGTGAGGTCAATGCGTGAGTGGGGTGAGGGTGCTTCTCCTTATGTGTTGAGAAAACCAGAAATGGAGCACCTGAGCAGAGCTGCTAACAGTGTTGGTCGAAAAGAGATGGATGAAGTGTAGTTGTTGCCAAATGTCTGAGGGGAAAACAAGATCTTAATCCGATACCAAAAAGATAACCATGCTTGTTCCAAGTGGGCCTCGTTAGGGAGATCACTTCATAATTGGGGGACCAGGGCCAAGAAGGTCCTCTCCCTTGTTACTGCCTTTCTGAGCCTTCCTTGAGCAAGCACTTGAAGGACAGCCTTAGGTGAATAATGTACTCATAGTCACTTATCTCCTTCCTTAGCCTGAATCTTCAAATGTTTTTATTTAGTCCAATATAATTAGAAGTTTGTCAAGTAATTGAGAGGTGGGCAACTTGTTTCCCTCCATATGTTCTGGCTTCTGACTTTGGGCAGCCTTGACCAACATTACCACAAGGTAAAGGATTGTAGGAATTGTAGTCTAAAACAATTTAATTTAATTTTAATAAAACATTTTCATCCTGTCTTTTCACAAACGTCTCAAGATGGCTTACGGAGTATAAAATCAAAACAATAAAAATACAATCCATAATATAATAAATAGCAATAAATAAAATCATTACAACAGAACATTAAACCAATAATAAAGGAGAATAAATCACAATCATGGGAAAAACAATGGATAAAATAATGACGTAAATAAAATAAAATACGACTATTAAGTTTAAAAATCTAAAAACATTAATTCTTAAAATGGTGTTTAAATGAAAAGGTTTTAACCTGGTGCCGAAAAGGCGCCAAGCAAACCTCTCGGTGCCAGGTGAACCTCTCTGGGGGGGTGCATGCCACAGTCTGGGTGCCACTGCAGAGAAGGCCCTACTCCAAGTAGATGCCCTTTCTACCTCCTTCAAGGAGGGTTCCTAGAGCAGGGCCTCTCCCACAGATCTTATGGGGCATGAGGGCATATAAAGAAGGAAATGTTCTTTCAGGTATCCTGGTTCCAAGCCGTTCAGGGCTTTATAGGTCAAAACCAGCACCTTGAATTGGGCCTGGACTTCAACTGGAAGCCAGTGGAGCTGGTAGAAAACTGGCATTGTATAAGAATAACAGCCGGTCCCTGTCAGCAGCCTGGCAGTAGTATTCTGTACCAGTTGCAGTATCCAGACTGTTTTCAAGGGCAGCCCCACGTAGAGCCCGTTAAAGTAATCCAACATCTGGAGGGCCACTAGTTGCCCTCTCCTAATGTAAATGAACATATTTGTGTATGTTCTTAAACATTCGTTTATTAGTAAAAAAAAAAAAAGTACAATTGTCTTTCAGCACTGCCTTCCCACTGCTCCTACAGCAAGGAGATGCACACAATATTTGTCACAGATTTTGCTGCTTTCTTCTTACATCAGAAAAAAAATCAAATACACTTTTGGTATAATTCAAATGGCACCTGCATGTTGGTAAAAATATTCAGTTGTGTCTAAGATTGATAATTGCTTGTCCTGTACAGATTTCCCACATTACTCTTCCTAATAGTAAGGCTAGTCCTACCTTACTAAAAAAAAGTTTTGCGTTTCATCATCTAAATTTATATTGAAGGATTTTGAAATCCATAGGTTCTTGTTCACAGCAAAAATGAATAAAACAGCCAGGTTTCTAGCTGCTGCCTGCTTATTTTCTGAGAGCAAAGATGGTAAAGTACTTAATATGTTGACTGAAAGAATAGTTACTTTTAGTTATTTTGACGTGAACAATGATGTTGTGTTTAGCTATTGCTATCTTTGGTTCATTCAGGTTTTATAGCAAAAATGCTTTGAAGACATAATTAAGCAAATCGGGTAATCAGCCAGGTTATATCATAGCTATACAATTATTTTTTGAGGGGAAAAGAGCCTTAAATTGAAAGCAAATACTGCCTGTATTACACACTTCTGACACGGTTTTGAATCAAATGTTAGAGTAAATTGTACTATCGGTTTTCCTTTTAGAAGATGTTAATTGCAACCTCTAGGGGGAAACTGGTAATATTCTAATGGCGCACAAATTGGGTAGTAATGATATTTTTGCTGTAAAATATTCTGCACTTGAGTAGCAATTCTCCATCTGTTCTAGCAAACATTTGTGGTAGAGTGAATATACACTCCTGCCTCCATCTGGGACTGATAAACAGGAGTCTGTAGAAATGTTAATTTGGTGTCTGTAAAAGAAGTGCCCATTCATGAAGTCTTTGCTAAAAGGAGGATAGATAAAAGTGATCTGACGTGGGAGCCTTGCCTTACGCAGAAACACCAACTGCTTGTACTCGGTGTATTTGTCAGTGGCAGATGTTCTCCTGGAGCAGTCTGTGTTCTCAGAGAACAATATGTGTAGTAAATAACCCAGATCCTTGTGTTCTTTCAGGCTTCAATAAGAATCCACAATCAGCCTGGAAAATTGACTTCTTTCCCCAGCATTCCCCCCCCCCCCGCTTTTTTTAAGCAGCAGATGGTATTGTTCAGCTAAGAGCTGCTCAAGGATGCAGCGCATTCTTTGCGCACAAAAGGACTCAGATTCAAACCTTGGCATTTCCAGGTAGGGCAGAGAGAGACTTCTGTTCTGCTGTTCAGCTTTATAGCCACCTCCCTTATTTAAGTCCCTCTTTTATTTAAGTCCATCTTTCCAGGAAGCCCTTGGAACACTATCACTTGATGCATGGAACTGAAGTAATCATATATTCTTCCCATTTCTCATTTTCTACCTTCCTCTGTTGTTTCCCTTGGACTATTTAGAATGCAAACCAACTGGGGATCTGAAATATTCATTCTCTGTAAAGTTCCAGGCACATATATGGGGCTCAATAGATAATCATCTGAAACCCTGGAATCCCACTTCCAGCCCATGTAGGCCTGTGTTTCCAAACCTGATGCCTTTGAAATGTGTTGATCTAAAATCCTCATTATTCTTAGCCAGCATGGCAATCTTGACCAGGAATTATGAGAGCTGTAGTGGAAGACCAGGGCGCCAGGTTAGGGCAGATGAGTGTAGGGAATAGTGAACTAAATCAACTGACAGTCTGAATTAGCAGAAGGTATTATTGGAATCTCCTTCATGGATCACTGCATTGTCATGGCGAAGGGCCTTGCGTAGCTCAATGAAACTATGAGCTAAGCCATGCAGGTCCACCCAAGACGGACAGATCATAGCAGAGAGCTCTGACAAAATGTGAGCCACTGGAGAAGGAAATGGCAACCCGCTCCAGTATCTTTGCCATGAAAACCCCATGGACAGTACCAAAAGGCAAAAAGATATGACGCCGGAAGATGAACCCCTCAGGTCGGAAGGTGTCCAATATGCTACTGGGGAAGAGCGGAGGGCTAGTACTGGTAGCACCAGAAAGAAGGAAGCGACTGGGTCAAAGCCGAAAGGACACTCAGTTGCAGCTGTATCTGGTGGTGAAAGGAAAGTCCGATGCTGCAAAGATCCATAGGAACCTGGAATATAAGATCCATGAATCAAGGCAAGCTGGATGTGGTCAAACAAGTGATGACAAGACTGAACATCGACATCTCAGGAATCAGTGAACTAAAATGGACAGGAATGGGTGAATTTAATTCAGATGACCATCAGGTATACTACTGCGGGCAAGAATCGCTCAGAAGAAATGGAGTAGCCTTCATAGTCAATAAAAGAGTAGGAAAAGCAGTACTGCGATACAATCTCCAAAATGACAGAATGATCTCAGTTCAAATCCAAGGAAAACCATTCAACATCACAATAGTCCAAGTCTATGCCCCAACCACTGGTGCTGAAGAGGCTGAAGTTGACCAGTTCTATGAAGGCCTACGACACCTTCTAGAATTAACTCCAAAAAATGATGTCCTTATTATCATAGGGGATTGGAATGCTAAAGTAGGAAGCCAAAAGATAACTGGATTAACAGGCAAGATTGGCCTTGAAGTACAAAATGAAGCAGGGCACAGGCTGGTAGAATTTTGTCAAGAGAATACGATGGTCATAGCAAACACTCTTTTCCAACAACCCAAGAGACGACTCTACACATGGACATCACCAGATGGTCAACACAGAAATCAGATTAACTATGCTCTGCAGCCAAAGACGGAGAAGCTCTATACAGTCAGTAAAAACTAGACCAGGAGCTGACTGTGGCTCAGATCATGAGCTTCTTCTTGCAAAATTTAGGCTTAAATTGAAGAAAGTAGGGAAAAGCACTAGGCCACTCAGGTATGACCTAAATCGTATCCCTGATGAATATACAGTAGAGGTGACAAATAGATTTAAGGAACTAGATCTGATCGACAGAGTGCCTGAAGAACTATGGACGGAGGTTTGCAACATTGTACAAGAGGTAGCAACTAAAGCCATCCCAAAGAAAAAGAGAAAGATACACCCAACTGAATGTAGAATTCCAGAGAATAGCTAGAAGAGATAAGAAAGCCTTCTTAAATGACCAGTGCAAGGAAATAGAAGAAAACAATAGAATAGGGAGGACCAGAGATCTCTCCAAGTAAATTGGAGATATGAAGGGAAAATTTCAGGCAAAGATGGGCATGATAAAGGACCAAAATGGCAGGGACCTAAAAGAAGCAGAAGAGATTAAGAAGACATGGCAAGATTACACATTCAAACATTAT